CCTAAAAAACACATGGGAACCACTTCAGGACAAACGTTTTTTATCGGAGGACGGACTACCGTACGGTATGCAAAGCGGAGCAAGCCCCGCGCTGCACCCTAGCACTCCATTCGGTAATCCTCCGGCGCTTCAGACTACGGTCGAAGCGGAGCTTCTGGCTCAAATGATTTCCCTTCGGAAGGAAATGGCCAAGCTCCAAGAACATAACAACCTCCTCTCGTCCAAAGTAGACGAAACTCAACGACTGCTTAATCAGTAGGAAACACAGAATATTCAGTATACAGAACCTTCTCAGAGTCTGCAGACCCCCAGTCGGCAGAAGAAAGGGAAGAAGGGGGCAAAGGCAACGCCTGCGCCTTCCAAACAGCTGGTAGTCCCGGCCCCGTACCGAAGAAGGTGTATACCGACTGTCGCTATCGGATCAACAACAGGGATGCCAAACGGCAGAGGTCCCCAATCAGGATCAATGCTCGCCTACGGGACTCACGGATGAGGGTCATTGGAGACAAATCACCCCTCAGGAAAGTTCGAGGGTTGGAATCGGAGATAGAATCTGACGACGAGTATGCCCCGTCCAAGGGCACCGAATCAAACTACCGGTCGGAAACTCCCACAGAGTATACGAAGGCGAGGCCACCAAGTCCGAGGAGAACTTCCGAAGACTTCAGTTCCGAGGAGGTCCCCAGCCGACACCCCGCTATCCATCTGATCTTCCAGAGAGTTCAGAGATGGAAGACGACCGAACCCGGTCCCAGGAACCTGACTGGGGGAAACTTCGGCCAGGTCCCTTTACCGAGCGCATCAAGAAGTCCAGACCGGACCGGAAAGTACAGCCGTTGCGCATACCGTTTTACACCGGCATGGAAGACCCCTTGACGCACCTTCACTCCTTCCAATCGGCGGTTGGATGTAAGGGCCTCGGCGATGAGGGGCAATGCCTATTGTTCCCATCCTCCCTTACCGGAGCTGCTTTGAACTGGTTTTACTGCCTTGAACCAGGAACGGTAGACTCCTTTGACGAACTGAAGCAGATTTTTCTAAATCACTTCATGATCCAGACGGACCGTCTGTACTCTGCCGACGATATGTACATGGTTCGGCAGGGAGAAGACAAACCCCTATAGGAATACGCTGCGCGCTTCAGTCATGAGTAATCGAGATATCCGGAAACGGACGATAGGGCAGCCTACGACGCCTTCAAGAGTGGCCTTCGGCCCTATCACTTCAGGTATCTTGTGCACAGTAGCAACTGGCGTACGTATGACGAACTGATGAAGCAGGCGGCAATCCACGCCAAAGCTGAATATTTCAACTCCAAGCCCGGGCCTTCAGCTTGGCAAGAGGAATTGGCACCCAAGATCTATCCTGGGCGGACTGACGACTCCTCGGAAAGCCACAAGCGAAAGGACGACCGTGACAATCGGTAAGGTGGGTCAAAGAAGGGGTGCGAGAAGTACGGTCGTAACGACCACCAAGCACCACTGCCGAATCACGACCGCGCTCAAGAAGTATTCACCCTGTTGAATACCACGTATGAGGCTGTACTGATGAACGAGCACGAAAAAATTCCGAAACCCAATAACCGGAAGCCCAATCGGCAGGACAATCGGGATACCGACAAATTCTGCCGATATCATCAACAGAACAGCCACAACACCGAAGACTGCATTAGCCTGAGGAAGATCGTTGAACGGCTGATTCGGGAGAGAAAGCTGGATCAATATATTGCCAGACCACAGCAGGCACCAGCCCCAAACGCGAATCGGCAGATCAACATGATCAGCACCATCAGCGAAGGCCCCACTCTGGCAGGACCCTCTAACCGATCAATGAAGCAATATGTGTGTGCCGCTCACTACCCTCAGGTCTTCGGAATAGAAGATGATCAGTACCGTAAGGTTCCGAAGGTGGATTGGGAACCCATCACATTTTGCGAAGAAGAGGAAGAAGGGATCATTTACCCCCACGATGACCCGATGATCATTCGGGCCAAGATCGCCGACTACGATGTAGGTCGGGTACTGATCGACACCGGGAGTTCGGTAAATGTGATTTTTGCCGACGCATTCAAAGGTCTGGGAGTTGCCGACAGCATGGTCAATCGGCAGATAACGCCTCTACTTAGTTTTTCTGGGGATCTGGTCCAACCAGTCGGTAGTATCAGTCTACCCACCGCCTTCAGCGTTTCCCCCAGAAAAACAATGACCTACGACCAATTCCTCATCGTTGACTGCCCAACGGCATACAACGTCATCGTAGGACGAACGGCACTCACCAAGGTCAAAGCCCACTTATCCCCCCACATGTTGCTGATGAAGTTCCCAACCCGGAATGGTACCAGAGCTATCCGGGGAGACCAGCTCAGCGCACGAACGTGCTATGCAACTACCCTTAAATCGGTAGCTTGCAAACCTCCAATGGAAGTCATGTCTGTGCAGGAACTACCGAACGGTAGCGGGCCTATAGACGACCCAAGAGAGAAAACGCCAACGCCGGTAGCGCAGCCTGCGGAAGAACTTGAAACGCTAATCCTGGATGGGGAATTTCCCGATCGGTGGGTAAAGATCGGCACCACCCCAGATCCTGACCTACGAGCGTAATCCATTGACTTCTTGCGGCAACAGGCGGAGGTCTTCGCATGGTCTTATGATGACATGTCTGGCATATCACCTGACGTCATCAGCCACAAGTTCAGCATCTCTCCCGCCCATAAATCGGTCAGACAGAAGCTCCATTCGTATGATGCCGAACGGTATGAGGCCATGCGTACCGAGGTGGACAAGCTAAAAGCCATCGGCTTTATCAGGGAAGCTACGTACCCGGTCTGGCTTGCCAACTCTGTCATGGTTTGGAAGGCCAAAGGGGGATGGCGGATGTGTCAGGACTATACCGACCTGAACAAGGCCTGTCCAAAGGACAGCTTCCCATTGTCGAGGATCGACCAGCTCATTGACGCAACCGCTGGACACGAGCTGCTCAGCTTCATGGACGCCTATTCAGGGTACAACCAGATTTTCATGGACCTTGCCGATAGCGAGCATACGGCATTTATCATCGACCGCGGTTTGTACTGTTACAACGTCATGCCTTTTGGCCTGAAGAATGCGGGGGCAACGTACCAACGGCTCGTCAATCGGATTTTTACTGAACATATCGGCGGCATTATGGAGGTGTATGTCGACGATATGTTGGTGAAAAGCTGAATGGCAGGGGGGCACCTGGAAAACTTGGCACTCATGTTCGGTATACTCAAGCAATACCGAATGAGGTTGAACCCAACAAAGTGCGCCTTCGGTGTATCTTTTGGGAAGTTCCTCGGATTCATGATTAGCCAAAGAGGAATCGAGGCCAATCCCAAGAAAATCAAAGCCATAATCGACATGGAGACGCCGAAGACACAGAAGGACATCCAAAGCCTTACCGGACGCGTCGCTGCCTTGAAGCGCTTCATCTCCAAGGCTACCGATAAATGTGTACCGTTCTTCAAAGCCTTGAAAGGGGGCAAACACCATATCGCGTGGACTCCCGAATGCGACCAAGCATTTCAAGACTTGAAGAACTACATGAGCAAGGCACTACTGTTGTCAAAATCGCTTCCCGAGGAAATTCTCCTCCTCTACCTTTCAGTATCAAGCACTGCCGTCAGCTCGGTATTGATACGGAAGCCAAAGAAGGCAGAGCTACCAATATTTTATGTCAGCAAGGCCCTTCAAAGTGCGAAACTTCGGTACCCACACTTGGAA